TGCTACTGTTTCTGCTAGCCTCCAGTCAACCAAGGTGTTCCGACTCGTGACTATGCAGGTGTGGTGAAGACTCACCTTATTCACACATTTCAATTTGTTGACTGAACCAACAAAGCCAGTTAGAGAATGAGGCTCCGAGGTCATCTGCTGTGACAGTTTGTGGAATACCTTCGGAGGACGTGCCAAGCTACTCCAAGGCAGCTGTGTTCTGGTTAAATGGACAAGAAACTGCACCTGGAAACCGTCTGTATCGTCCTCGGGCACAAGTGATAGAAATTTTTAATCTGCGACAGTCTTCTACATCAACCTTGCTAAGAACGCCAAAAACAGACGCTTCGGCTGAAGATGTTCTGTTTTAAGAAGATATTTTCCGACGCACTTCTATCCACCTGGAACCCTCATCTGGTCGTTCGCTTTCAACAAAATTGTGGTTTTAGACAAAGAATGATTTTTTATGAAACCAATATAATAATTTTGCACTATTCTTGAATAATTTGTTCACATTTCCAATCCTTTTAGTCGATATTGGCGAAGAATGTGATGCGGTTAACCATACGTGTAAAGCACAGATGGCTATGTGCCTTCCCGCTCGTCGGGACCGTAGATTGGCTAATTTTTCTGGTCGATGCTCTTGCCCAGAAATTACGGTCGCAGTGTACCAACCAAATCTGGGTTACCACGAGTGTTGTAAGTTGAAATTAATCAAATCGGGATTAGGTTTTCTCCATCTACTATTAATTTCTGCCAGTGTGACACTGCGGCACCTCAAAATGAAATCTGTGACATTTACGTGACAGCCAATAGTGTTACAAAATGTTAGAAAGCAGTTATCTCACGAACGGAAACTATTTTTTCATCTGATAAACTCATGTTGCAAACCTCGTGGAATTCTTTGGAGATGTCTACAGAAAAGTAAGGAAGTAGCTCCGATGACTGGTTTAGCAAGGTCCCTTTACCATTTCCTCGGTTAGTCCGTAAGCGAATCATCGTCAAATTGGGGGACTGCTGCAGATGGATTGGCTGATTGTTAGCTAGTCAAGACGGAACTCATTTCGATTCGCTAAGGTCATACTATACTCTTCGCTTTCATCATGCTTGTGTGAATAATCATTATTTATTTACTTATTTGTTTATTAATTAATTAAGGGACGCACAAAATTAGGAGTATATATTCAATGATAGTCGGAGTCCATGAACCGTACTCCGTTTGCTTCACTGTGTTCAGCCAAATGGTTTCTAGATGTTGTCCGAGTGCCACGAGTTGCATGGATGTTGAAGCGAATGTGGGTTATATTGAGACCTAACTGAGAGTGAGAAAAGGTCATCCTCCAGCTCATGCGTACCAAAGATGGAAATAAAACCAACTACTCACCGGTTGGAATAAGTAGTTTGGCAGCACACTAGAAGCTCACTCGCACGCCTTTCGACGAATCCATTCCCGGCTGAGAACAATGAATAGTCCGGTAACCAAAACAGCACAGAACAGCTTTTATCTCGGTAAGCCTTAAGTTGAGATAGGTGAGTTTTTAGAGTGCATTCAAGACTTATGAACCCCCCAGGATAAGTTTTGCGGTGTCTGATCTTTTGCTCCTTTCCAATTTTGTTTTCCACGGTTCGTAACGTCCATCTTATCATTTCTCCTACAGAGTGATTAAATCTGTAATGTTTTTGTAGATGTTTTACCGTAATTTAATGTGAGCTGATATGTCAGACTGATTAAGCAACAATGCCATTGATGCGTCTAAGCCCGGTATTCCAAACGTGTTAGCGCAACAGGAACGTCACATGTGGGATTTTTCTGCCTGCACGGCACAGGAGTTGCTGCTGGCCGTCTGTCATTAAACGCTACGAACTAGTGTCACAGCCAGCCGCATTTTTTGTCTGATTCGAAAAACGCATAATTGCATGCTCAACCGAGCTGGGTTAGGTTCCACTGAGGCACCTTTATGTGAACCTCGATTTTATTGTGTACGATGATGTGCACCTAAAGAGAACGGTCATTGGGAATTTTAGCTGCCCACCACAAATTAATAACAGTTTGACCAGAATGCCACTGCCGACTTCGTGATTGACAGCGAATCAGACCGCACCATGTCACATGGTTAACTTGAACGATCGTTTTCCTGTCGAGGACAAATATGTTTCAAACCAGCCCACAAGGAGTATAAGCGATGTATAGTGGTATATTTTGTAATTAGCTGCAGCAAGCTTCTGAGAACCTACGAAAATTTGACCGTGTATAACTCACGAAAATCTTGAGCGTTTCGTCTGTTTCCAGATTACCACCGGAGTCTAGCCCTACTGATTGTAAATCAGAACAAAAGTTGCATTTGGATGCTCATTCAGGACCAAACAGCGATACTTTATAACTATAGTATTTTATTAATGAAATTCAAATTCGTTTTTTCAGGGGCGTAGATGGATTATGTGGGGCAGACAACACATGGATATCTAGGAAATTCTCCGAAAAATTTAGAAGCACCATGAAAAAAACAGTTTTAGCCTATCTGTATCGTAATTTTCTACGCATGGTTCAGCACATATCTTGTAATGTTTCGGAAATGGAGTAATATAGCCACTGAATGACTTCAGGTGATTAGCAACCTCTCTCACTAAACAACAGTACAACATGCAAGTGCTCATAATGTTTCATAATTGTGGTTATCATTTTTTAATCAATCTCAAATCGATAACTTTTTCTGAGTTACTGTCTGAAGGTGTAGGAACGAACACTGACTTTGTCCTGTTGATGAAAATGTTGGTGCTATTGTTGTTATTGATGACGAATGAATGAATATTATTATTCTTATTTTTTATTATTTTATTCATTTTCAGTTACAAAAATACCTAAACCACAGCTGAGCGCCGGGCATAACCAGGACATAGTAAATCCAGAGTGCGCTGGATGTCATGCCGTCGAGGGAGTATGCTACGATATGAATGATGATGGCATTGGAGATGGATGTCGTTGTCCGGTGGATCGGACACATTCATCAACTGTGGATTCAGACAGCCAACCATACGAGAGCCCCACAAAACACCATCAGCAATCAAGTTTGAGTTCGCCGTGTACGAGGAAACAAGGTAATCCTGAAGGTATCTATTGCCACTGTGATTCTCCACTCAGTAGAACTACTTCAGAATGACTGACAGTTCAGTATCGATCCGAGGTGCAGTCACTCAAAACCTGTGATAAAACAGTTCCAAATGTTGTGGGAGTTACGAAACTGACCAGTCTTTGAAGAAGCGGGTTGTGATTGTTATTAACTCTGAATTCTGATACCCTGTGTTTATATTTGCACTTGCGCGTAGCGGCATAACAGCTGAACTAATATCAAGGCTACACACTCCTTTTCATAAAGGAAACCAATCACAAGGTTGCCGAAAACTCCTTGATAGCCTACGAAAGGTTTCGCTCTTCTTGGGGCTCATCAGGTAGACGCAGTCCTTGAGTTCCCGTCAACCCTATGTTCTACTTGAACCGGAATTAGACTGTTTTTGAGAAATACACTCATTTGCAAATCAATTTGGTTTTCATGAAAGACTCGAATGAATCTCTCGTTTATGAGATTCTACAACTGAATATGCTGCACACAGGCCGCCTCATGATTCACTTGGCAGATATTCGAGATATCGCTGTATATCATAAACGAGAGATTCAGCCGAGTCTCTCGTGAAAACCAAATTGATTTGCAAATGAGTGTATTCCTACACAGTCCTGATTTTTTGGTTTATGGTTTGCTTGATGAGCGGGAATTAAGACAGACTGGTTGTCCTGCGTCTCTGCGTTGGATGAAGCTATCGTTGTACAGTTGGGTTTGTCAAAACCACCACTCATTGGGCAACGGAGAATGTGACACTTTTGAGGGATTTGTGCTTCTGAAGGCTTATTTGTTTATTAGATTAAACAGTAGACTAAAAAGTAATATGGTTCCACGTTGAAATTTAAGATGCATTGCTCTACATGAGTACTGAATTTTCGCGGTTTGTTTGTATATGGCCAGGTTCGCATTCACATGCGCAATAGTTTAGTACGCCTGATATAATCCATACTTCAAGCCAAGCATAGGAAAGGTTGGTGGAGCAGAATAGCGATTTTAATTTCACCGTTTTCAGACTATAGCTGAACCTGTGTGACAGTGTGTGAGCTTGAAAATATACG